TCGAATCAAATGCCTAGAATAATTAATGGGGCATTTAATTCAGGCCAAAATAATTTTAGGTGTGTTAATGTAATATTGAATCATATCTCCTCCCTTTGGCTCATAGATTTGATGCCATACCAGAAGGGATGAGTTACCGTCACTTCCCATAAGAGGAATGTGAGATTCACATCCAAGGGCAATTTGGGTATGAAAAAAAATAGAATTTATTATTTATTTATTTATTTTTGTATTAATTACACATTGGGAATTAAAAACCCAGATTAAATACTTTTTTTAATTTAAATCTTACAATTAATACGCTTATCTCTCTCTCTCTCTCTCTTCCAACAACCTCTTCACTCCGACCGCCAAACTTTCTCCGGCCGACGACTTTTTCCGGTGAAATCCTCCAATCAGACTCGCTCCGGCCATCTGCAAAAAAATCACTCCGTCAGTGTGCTAGTGGTACTGATTTTAATCTAGTGGTACGCTACCAGTAGTAGTGGTACGTACTAGTGGTAGTGGTACGCTACGAATACCACTGGTACAGCTACCAGTGAGTAGTGGTACGCTACCACAACCACTGGTACCGCTACCAGTGAATAGTGGTACGATACCACTACCACTGATAGCGTACCACTAGACAGAAATCAGTATCACTACTCACTGGTACCGCTATCACTGAGTACTGGTACGCTACCACTACCACTGGTAGCGTACCACTAGACAGAAATCAGTACCACTAGAGAATAACATAAAAAAAAACAAGATCTGGAATCTGGAAAATCCCAGATCTGAAAAATAAAATTAAGGAATGAGGAAAGGAGAAGGAAGGGGAGAGGTCGTTACCGGCGCCAGAGGAGGACGGCGGGAGAGAGATGGCGGTGACAGAAGTTGGAGGGAGGCAAGAGGGCTGCGACGAGGAGAGCGTTATGGCGCGGCAGTGGTGGGAGGCGGAGGACGCGACGGCTGCTGCGGGAGGGAGACGGTGGCTGCGGGAGGGAGAGATGGCGGTGGTGGCGACGGGAGGGAGAGACGACGACGGTGGCGACGGGATGGGGTGGCGGCGGCGGCGGCGACGACGACGGGAGGGAGAGACAGAGAGCAGTTAGGGTTTTCGGGAGAGGGAAGAGAGAGGGGAGAGAGGAAGAGGTTTTTCTTTTAGGAAATCAGATTATATAGAAAATGAGAAAGGATCATGCGTGGTAAGTTTTTCTCTTCCAAAAATATCTTTTATTTAATCTAAACCGTTAATTTGAAAAATCAAGAGAGAGGGTGGATCTAATAGCTGCGAAGGAGGAAGCGAAAATCACAATCCCATAGGGGTTGTGACGCTATCTAAGCCCATACCAGAATGATCGTGGTCCTCATTGATGGTTAATAGCTCTACCAGATGGTTTCATTCCGTCTCTCTTCTTCCCCTGTCTCTGCCTTCAGTTATCTTTGCCCGTTCTCTTTTCACATACAACTTTTGTTTGCAGTCTTTGACAACAATCATGTGCTTTGGATTTCGCGATGGAGGGTGAAGCAACAGTTTAAGGAGATTAATGTCGGGCTTGCTGGTGCACATTGCTTGCAGGTATTGATTGGATTTCCCTATAATTGAGTGGATGGAATTTGTAAAAAATTACAGTAAAGCTGTGAGCAAAGCTCCGCTACTGCTTCGTGTTGTTTTTGTTCGTTTTTTTTTTTTTTCCTACCAAGGTTTGCTTTATGTTCTCCTTTCTGCTTCGTGCTGCAAATGATTCACAACTGGAGTAAGATGTTGTCTTAGATTGTATTACGAGAACTAAAACGGAGGATACAAGAATCTGTTGCACAGCCTCTATTTTCTATACGATGTTTGAACTTTGGTGATTATGGTGTCATGGTTCTCTCGTCCTAGGATTCTTTCATGAATATATTTTGGTTGTTCATTAACTGTAGGCAGTTCAATGATTCACCAGCAAGCGATAGTAACTGAAATCATATGCCTTGCAGATTGGATCATAACACTATCATGGTTCTTCTGCTTAGGTTCTCATAATGTGGATACAATGCTTATGTAGACCATCATCATTATATTATCCACTTTCCTTTTCTCTTATTTATGTTAGCGTTTTCTTATGATTGAATGAATCAGGAGAAGGGATCAATTGGATACGAACCCATAAAATGATGTTGTTAGTTCATAGCTTTTGCATGTTGTTCGTGGGGTGTTTCTTTCTTTTGCTTTCAGTTTGTTCTTTTATTTTCCCCTGGCTATCTAATCAATGACAATTTTGATCTCTCTGTGTTTTGAGTTCCATGGTGAACGATGATGGATTTGCAATTGATGAGAAATCACTCAAATCCCCTCTCTTACAGTAGCAGACCAAGCGGAGGAGGGAGTTTGGTGGGCTCTTTCAACAATCCACTCTTTTGGTGATCATCTGGTCCTATCATGGTTTGTTTGTTATTGTGTCTTTCAATTTCCTAGCTTGATTCTCTAAGTAATTATGTTAAATATGGAGGAAATTGGGGTCATTTGACACAGATCATTGCTTGCTGAAAATGGTAATTCTTCCAGTGTATCAGATTTACTTCAACAAATCAATAGTGGGAGTCCTTGATAAAGCTAGACAGTATCTTTTAGTCCATTAGGCTGTCCTATCGAAAATTATGCATCTCAGGGTTAGATCACGGAGCATCATCGACCCTACACTTTCTTCACTATTTACAGCTCGGTGAACTTTTCATTTAAATAACATGATTCATGCATCTATAACTTTCTTGCTGGTGTTGGCTTACCTAATTGTTCATTTGTCACAGGTTCAATGGTCATTTGGTAATAGAATTTGTGTGACTGAATTTGGACGGAGCAAGATTATGGGTGATGTTTGGAGATTTCAGTTAGTTGCAATGTAGGCTTTATCTTTCATTGATTTTACCTTTTTATAGCTTATACCCAGAAACGTTGAGCTTGATATGATTTTTACAAAGGACTGCAAGTAGTTTCCTTTGAGTGTATTTCAACCGGCATTTTAGGCGTTGCTTGCGGTGGAAAGTGCTAATTATTAGTCTGAAAGCTCTCTCTGTATGTGATTTTCTCTTTTGTTCTTTGTTTTTTTTTTTTTTTTGTGGTGTTTTGTTTGATTATACTATTTTGAGCCTTTGGTTCTCATTATTTTTTTTTTTTGGGTAATTATTTGGTTCTCATTATTAAAAGAAAGCAACATGATTATCAAACCTGGTCCGCTGTTTTTCATTAGCGAGGATATGCTTATGCTGGCTTTGTTGTTTATTTGTTCCTTTGTATGCAGGTAAAAGTTGATCTCTCATGAATTTGACAGAGGAACTTGATTCCGTTAAGTAATGTGGCTAATGGGTGTAGTTCAGGGTGCCATGTCTCCTCGCTTTGTTTATATGCAGGAGCTTTTGGTTATGACTAGGCTAAATATTTTAATGAATAGTTTGATGGTTATAATTTTTTTAATTATTTATGTGTCTTTTTTTTATGGTATTATTTATGTATCTTTAATAACTACTAGTGATTTTGGCCGCACTCTGCTGCGGCCTTAGATTGATTTTGTTGGAACCATTATTGTGTTAATGATCAACTCACAATATGGATCTATTCATGCAATAAAGCCATTATCAATTTCCTGTAATAAAGCCATTATCAAACTTTATGGACGTTAGGAGTAATTAGACAGGAAGAGAGTCATACTTTTAGTAACTCTGCAAGTTCTTTTGTTTGGGACCGGTTACCATGTCTGTAACTGTTAGGATACTAATAAGAGTTGTAGTTATTTCTGTGATGACCAATTAGTGATTCATCTTTATGTAGTGTGTGAATTTTCATTTTCATTATGTGTTGGATTTAAATATGACATGTTATTTTGGTGTAATGCTATATGATATTAGTATTACTCATATATTATATGAGATTTGATATAATTTATAAATGTGTGAAACAATGTAATGACTTTTTCATATATCTGAGCTAAACCGACCTAAAGCGGTTGGACCATTAATCCTCAACCAACTTGCTCGACTGGACCAACGGGCTAAACCAGATCGACAACCCTCTAGTTCTTTTTCCTCTTTCTGTTGTAGATTCTCCCAATTTGTTCGACGACGAAAGACGAAATACAAAAAAAAAAATACTGGTGAAGAAGAGAAGGAGCACGAACAGGGGTTTGGTCTTGTGATAAGTGATAACCACTAGGTTTGAACCTGGAGATCTCAAGTTCAAATCTCTTAAGTAGTTCCCTAAAAAAAATCCCTAAAAAAAAACTCTTAAGTAGTAAATAAACAACAAAAAATAAACTTATATCACCTTATAAAAAAAAGAGTATATGTCATTCGAAAAGAATGCTTGATATAATTAATAATGTGTAAACAATACAATCACTGTTGTGAGCTATTGGCTAATATTATGGCTTGAACTTTTTTTTTTCTTCTTATTCTTCTTACAAAATTGTGGGCAAATCAATTAATAGATATGGCTCAAGTTATGATGGATGATGTATATTCACTTTACATCTTTTCTTTCTCAGAGAAGGAGGAGGGATTTGTCCACACTACATCCCCACGTGTTGATAAATGGCTGGGAGGTTAGGGAGAAAAAATGACAGTAGAATACTTTAGTTAAACCCTTATGGAACAGTAAGCACATTGTTACTTTAATAAGTATCTAGTTATGTAATATATGAGCCTCACTATTTATGGGTGTGAAAGGTTGGAAATGGGCGCCTGGTCTTTTGTTTTCTGTTCGAAATCGCATGCTATCATGTTGATTGTATTGTGCAATAGTTCTCCCAAATGTTCGGTTGTAGAAATTGCGATAAGCAGCTCTATCTATTGGTGTCTTACATGATTAGGTGGTTATAGTTGTTGCTTTTGAGGTTAAATTGTATTAACCATAATTTAAATGGTGTGTTTGCTCTAATTGTTTAAATCAGTCCTCTACCATCAACTATGTTGTAAATATATGTGAAAAGAAATTTGGAATCCAAGCTGATTCAATAAATACTTCAAATCCCGACGCAGAGCGCGGGCAATAACATCCTAGTTAAAACATTACAACAACCAAAATACAAGGGCTGAGCGTTAAGAGGCAGATATTAGCAGTCAAAATACAATGAACAATTCTTCTTTCAGGATCTGATACAATACTTCATCCACAAGCAACTGCAATGCTCCAAAAAATTGATTCCAAGGACAAATTGCAGCACACTCTCTCTCTCTCTCTACTAAAACCCCCCTCACCAGGCCAGAGGAGGAGAGTACAATCTCACACTTGTTCTACCAAAAAAACCCAGGAAAAAAAAAAGAACACAGATACAGACACGATTTCAGTGAAAGAGGAAGATGAAGTCCAATAAAAACTAGGGAGATATAGCTTGCAAAAAAATCGGTACAAACGGGAAACAAAAGCTTTCTTTAACAAGCGTTCCTTACGAAACCCACAATTGCAGAGCGAGGAGGCCGTAGCAGTAGCAATACTTCTTTAATTCACACTCGGATTTACAAAATGCAACAACAACCTGTTTCTTTTACCCTTTATCTCTTTCTTTTTCAGTCTCCCATCAATTTAGATTATTATGCATACATGTCTCCCTCCAAGCCAGCCATTGCAAATTCTAGCTCTCGACTGCAGGGCCTCCAACCTCCAATCCAAATCTTCTTTTCTTTTACAGTCTCAGGCCGGAAATGAAAATTTGAGGAGGCTGTCTCTCCTGTCAGTGCTCTCTCCTAGGCCATCTCCTCTACTGCCTGCTGAAATAATCTCCAGTCAGAATACATCCAAGATTACAGGGAACTGCTAAAATGAAGACCACTCTTCTACAGTATACTTCCCCCCAGCTTTACTAGAGTACCTGTACAAGTTGGTGTCGCGATGATGCATTATTGAGCACCAGGTGCATCCCTCATGCTCAAATTTAGACTGTTCCTCATTGTTCGTCTACCAATTCCTGCATTCCCCATTTGCATCATCGCCACAAATTCACCATAATCAATCCTTCCATCCTGAAGTCAAATAAAGTTCAGCAATTTCGGTAACCTTTGATAGGAAAGGGTTTCAGAAATGAAGAAGTATGAATAAGGAAAGTGATACAGTAGCGTTTATCTATTATTGGGCTTGCGTACATTATCTTGATCAACTTCTCTGATTATATCCTCAATGAAAACATCAGTCATGTTCTGCTCGGCACATGCATGCTGAAGCTCGTCAACTGTTATGTAAACCGCTTCCATCCTTGTCAAAGTACCGGAATGCAGCAACAAGATGTTCCTCACGTTCCAATTTGTTGAGATGGATTGTCGCAGCTATGAATTCGCCATAGTCAATGGTCCCACTATTGTCCACATCAGCCTGAAAATCATTAATAAACATATCCAGGGCTAAACAAATGCTAATAGTTTGCAGCAAATGGTAGTAGCAACTAGTTCAAGATCCATTTCTCATATAACATTCCCCAACTCCTAAGAAACTCAAATTCACTTCTGTAAGACCCCACTCAATCCACCAGCTAGAAGCAGAAAATGTCAGTTATGGACTGACCATGAAACCACTAGCAATCTCCTAAAAGAATTCCCACTTGTTTCTCACTGTCTCGCTTTTATATGACTTTCACTCTTAAGGTGGAAGGTAAGAAGACCTTAGCAACCATCTTACCGCATCCATAAGATCACGTATCTCTGTATCCTTCATGGTGGAGCCATATCTTCTTAAACCTGCTTTGAGTTCATCAAACGTAATTGCACCACTGTTATCAGTGTCCATAGACTTGAACATTTCCTTCAAACCAGCAATCTCTTCCTCCGAAAGGCTTTCAGCTATCACCTGAAATCATGTAACATAGGTTCCACAGATGGGATAAAATAATTGGTTCAACTTTTCTCTGCAAGAGGTAATATAAATAATGAAATTAAGTTTATCAGCAGGCTATAACCCTTATAAAATTTAATTGTACATTCTGTAGCTAGGCAACAGAATAACTTAGGTACATAATTTGGATGGCAGAATTTGTACATTCTGTAGCCTAGTCATTTGGATGGCAGAATTTGTCCATGGTATGTGACCTGATTTCCCTAGAATGAATGATGGAATGCCACTTTTTCCTTTGCATGGATGACTACTTTAAGCTCGATGGAAGCCCTCACAATCATTGGCATGTGAATTCTACGGGTGGGACAGGATGCATTGAACAATGCCACTATATCCTTTTTATTCGAATTCCCCTGAAAAACATCTAACTTGTAGAACAATAACACTACATAGGGATTTGTAAGAAGAAACATGGGCAACATTGTACTCTCATATTTATGGTGAAAATTTCATTCCATCTCCGAAATTCCACCTTTAAAAAATGCATCCAAACAGTGGAATGTCCACATTCTTCTCCTGTCACATTTCTCATTCCATCGAATTCCAAACCCCACCACTTAACCGAGCTCAAGGAATAACTTCTAGCTCATTCCATACATAAACTTAGCCACTTACCCGTAGAGCCATCTTTTTTAGTTTGTTCATTGCTGAGAACTGCTTGAGACGAGTGAGTACAGCTGCATCAAGAGCTCTATCAGGAGCAACTCCATTTTCACAGATCCAAGGGTGACCTTAATTAATTAAGCAAAAAAAAAAAAAAACTCAGCATGTCTACAAACTCACAAGGAAGCAAAGGTAGTAACATTTTCCAAGCAAGATAATTGCATTTAGCAATATCTAGTAGTATTAAATGACAAACCTGCTATAAAAAGCAGCAGTAACAAATCCAGAAAAAAAAACAGAGAGCTTGCAAAAGTATTTTTCCTCTGCATGAAACAGTTATGCCTCTGTAAAGCCATGCTTTTAAATAAACATCCCCTAGTTCTGGGATATCATAACATTAATGCGGTTAGCAAGCATTTTTATGGAACTGCGGAAACTACTAGTTAAATAAAGTGCTAATTTAGTATCATCAGTATATATGTAACTAATGTTCAACACAAAAGAACTTAAGTAATTAGATATCACATACACAATACTTCATGAGCAGTCAATCGTTCTTTAGGATGGGATGAAAGCATCCTTCGAATGAGATCTTTAGCACTCTCTGAAATTAACGGCCATGGGTCCGAGTCAAAGTCAATATGCCCCTTCAAGACTGCATCAAATATTCCTTGCTGTGTCTCTGAATTACCATCATCAGAAACCCTTTCAGATTATTGCACTATTGAAGTGACCTAGAGTCATGAGACATTGCTACAATGACACTTACCAGCCCAAAATGGCGGTACCCCACTTAACAATATGTACAGAATGACACCAGCTGTCCATACATCAGCTTCTGGCCCATAATGTTTGAGAAGCACCTCTGGTGCAACATAATATGGACTTCCAACAACATCAGTGAAAATTTGACCTGAGGCAGAACCCAATAGTATGTGAAATTCAATTCAATGGACTGCTTATACTACTCTTGGTGTAATCATTAACTGCAATACATACCTGGTTTGAAAAACACAGAGAGCCCAAAATCGATGGCCTTGAGAGAGAAATCATCGTCCTTGTTAACCAACAAGAAATTCTCGGGCTTTAGATCTCTATGCATAACCCCAAGAGAATGGCAAGCCTCGACAACACCAACAATGATCTTGGTAAGCTCAGCGGCTTTCCTCTCGCTGTAATGCCCTCTCTGGATGATTCTATCAAACAGCTCCCCACCAGAGCAAAGCTCCATCACAATGTGAACATACAAAGGGTCCTCATAGGCACCTTTAATGGTGACAATGTTCTTGTGACCAGCCAAATGGTGCATAATCTGAATCTCCCTGCGAACATCATCGACGTCTTCTCTGGCGATCAACTTTCTTTTGGAGATGGATTTGCAAGCGAACTCGATCCCGGAGGAAATCTCAGTGCAGAGGTAAGTAGTACCGAATTGGCCCTGCCCCAACTTGCGCCCCAAGTTGTAGAGGTCGCGAATATTGGGAGTCCTGTGGCCGAGAACGTAGTAAGCTTGGTTTTCTGCTGTGCGCCTCATGGTGGTGACTTCCTTGGTGGGGCTCAAAATGGGCAAATTGTTATGGTTGTTGGGGTTAGGAGTGGTGACGAAAGGGGTGGGGGCGAAGGTGGAATTGGTGTGATCAGAAGAAGGGTTGCGCCTGGAAGTTGAAGTTCTGGAGAGATCCTCGGGCTGAGTGTAGCCCTGATACAGTTTGCCTTTGAAAGATCCACGGCAAGTGTTGCCCATCAAACAACCGCAATTGCCTGTTTAAATATATTCACCTCACGCTTTGCCCCACTCATCCAAGTGTATTATTGTTGTCATCAAAATTTGATTAGCTGCTCCACGAAATTGAGCAAACAAGGGGGGAAACATCAGCTAAAGATAGCAACTTTGTAAAGCGGGGTGTCTCTAGCTCATTCAATCAATTGAAAGAAACCCAGGAAGGAAAATCTTATATAGAACATCGGATCGCAGCTATGCAGGAACTAAAGGGGATGGAATCGGAAGCTGAAGCTAAAGAAGGAAAGCAAAAGGATGAAAGATTGCATACTTTTGAGGTCAATCATGATGCCAGTCATATTTTATCCATAAAACAAAAGGACATTAATCTTTACATCATCATAATAATAATCACAATGAAAATAGGCGGCGAGAAAAAGGAAAGAAGAGGGGGAAGAGCATACAGCAGGAAAGGAAGAGATTAGGAATCCAAGATATGATTGAGAAGCCGTTGCCGGTTTGCTGAGCATAATAATAGCAATAATAACTAAGGAAAAGACAAAGAAAAAAGGGAAAGGATCGACGGAGGTTGCCGAGAGAGAGAGACAACTTACAAGGAGGGAATTGCGTAGGGCGGAGGAGTTGAGGGATCTGAGGGGAGGGCGTTCATGAGTTGGCTTGACAAATGACAGGTACAAATCTCAAACCAATGGCAACAAATGAAATGAGAAGACTGGGATGGGAAGAAGGAAAGAAAGGAATAGTCTTCATTCTTCTCTCTCTCTTCTTTTTTTATTTTTATTTTTATTTCTAATTTTAATTTATTATTATTATTTTTCTTTTGAATCTAAAGGGTAAAGGGTGGAATTAGTGATGAGATTAGGGAGAGAAACGGGAAGGAGGAATAGAAAGAGAAGCTAATTAATTATTAATGAAATATATAGCTAAATTTTAAAACTTTCACACCATTCAATATGGGAGTTGCTAAAGGTCGCCCTTAAAATTGCTAAAGGTTGCCCTAAAAAGAATCAAAGTTACACTTTTAACCCCCTTAACTTCTTTACCTTCCCTTCCTCAAACAAACATCACTTGGACTAAAAAAAACACTATCTAAGGAGAGAAAAATCCATCATCGTCATTTTAAAGCCGATATCGTCGGTAGGACGTCTGAATCATGAGTAGTGACTCCGACGAGGTAAAAACATGAACTGAAAAAAAAACACAGAAAATGGGAACCGCGGGTCACTTGCGGTTCGACCATGGTTCACCGCAAGTGACCTGCGGTCGGACCATGGCTGGACCGCAAATCACCTGCGGTTGTACCATGGCTGGACCGCAAGTGACCTGCGGTTGGACCATGGCTGGAGCGCAACTGAGCTGCGATTCGGCCATGGTCCAACCGCAGGTCACTTGCGGTACAGTCATGGCCCGACCGCAGGTCAATTGCGGTTCAGCCATGGTTCAACCGCAGGTCACTTGCGGTTGGGCATTTTTTGGGTTTTTTTTCGTTGAATAATTTTCTATTTTTTATATGATTTATGATTTGTTCCATGAAATAATTTGTTGGGTTTTGATTTATATAATTTTTTAGATTTATTTGCATAATTATTTTTGGAATTGAAGGATTTAGCATTAGAAATTAAGATTAGATTTGGCCTTAAATTAAGATTAGATTTAATTTGGTCTTAATCTAGAAAATTAAGATAAGATTTTGCATTACAAATTAAGATTAAATTTATTGCATAAATAATAGATTCGCATATGAAGTTATGATGATTATTAAATTTAATATAGTTATGAAATTTTAAATTTATCATATGGTACTCGTTAAATTGACGATATAGAATGTTAAGTTTTTTTTTAATTTGCGGGGTATCACTTATAAATTCTGATAACATTGCAGAATATTGGAAGTTACAATCCGGATGGCCGTGATTACACCTCGGATTTCATTGATGGCGTGAAATACACTACGGAGTTGCAAGCATATGAAGCAGCTACTGAGATTGCCAAGGGTTTTGGGTTTTATTTGGTGAGGGCATCGAACAAAAAAAATAAGAATGAAGGTACTTGGCGACATTACTTACATTGCACTCATGGTAGGAAGAAGAAGTCGAAGGAACCTGATCCGAGTAAGGAAATGAGGCCTCTTACATCTACTGAAAAGTTGGGGTGCGAGTTTCAGATCAAGCTTGAGCGGTCCGGTGATGGATATTGGTTGATCCTAGGGGTGGCAAATACAAAGAGTCCTGGTGCTAATTTGGGTTTCCACAATCATCAGTTGGAGCTATTTCCGGAGGGATCAAAGGGAAGGAATGTTTTGACTACAGAGGATAAGCAATACATCAGAGAGCTGAGATCAGCCGGTGTCCCACCAAGGAATATCCACAAGGCAGTGAATGACATAAAAGGTGCAAATGGAACACACAACAGAAAGCAGATTTATAACGAGTGTCACAAGATAAGGAAAGAAGAGCTTGGTCAGATGACAGCCTTACAATATACTTTCCGCATGGCGCAGGAGAAGGGTTACTATGTGCAGTATATGGACGATCGTAACGTGCTTACACACTTGTTCCTAGCCCACCCTGAGTCAATAGTGATGTTGCGAGCTTGGCACCATGTGATCGTGATAGATGCAACATACAAGACCAATAAGTATGATATGCCTTGGGTTGAGATTGTCGGCATGACACCAGTGGGATTGAACTTTGTCATTGCATCTGCAATAGTGTACGACGAGACGAAGGAGTCGTACCAGTGGCTTCTGACGCATTTGCAACATCTTCTTGGCCCCATTGTTCCAGATGTGTTTGTCAGTGACAAGGCAGGAGGATTGGTTGAGACCGTGGGGGTAATGTTTCCATCATCGACTCATATATTATGTCTTTGGCATATAGATAGGAATGTGAGAGCAAAGTGTCTAGCGGAGGTGCAAAGGACGACTCATTGTGGTATAGATGCAGCCAAACCGACAGTGGATCATATCATGGCGTCTTGGCAACGTGCTGTATATGCATTGACAGTGGAAGACATGGATACTGCCTTAGACAATTTCAGACGTAGTTGGGGAGTACAGTACCGACGTCTTTGGGGGTATATGGCAGCTGAGTGGTTACCAGTTAGACACATGTGGGCTAAATTTTATACCAATCAAGTGCGGCATTTGGGTAACACAAGCTCTAATAGGGTTGAAGCTGCCCATTCCTCCTTCAAGAAGTGGCTTCAATCATCTACTGGCGCAGTCGACACGGTTAGTCTCCTAATAAATCTTCATTATGCACACATAAGTTTTAGTAGTCTCCTAATTGTTCTTCATTTGGGTAGGTATTCAAGAAGAACGATGATTACATTGAGGCTCAACACCTTCAAATCAGGAAGCTTCTAGAGGATTCCCGACAAAAGAAGCTGCTCCGAGCGGATGGAAAACCATTTCGAGAGTTGAATACGAAAGTCACTCTAGAAGCTCTGAGGTTGATGTTGTTCGAGGTAGCAGTGGAAGGGGAACCTTGTACATGTACGTTTCCTCCTACCTATGGTCTCCCATGTAGATGTTCCATTCAGTTAGCACGACGTGAAAATCAGGATTTCGCCTTGTATGATGTGTTGCCATTCTGGACCGTTATCAACTATCGTGAACCTCCTACTCGGCCGGAGTGGGATGACCATAGCGATTACCACCGTGGTGTGTTCCAAGGTCTAGTACAGGAGGTTCTTGATAGAGGTGACGAGACCATTCGAGGTGCAATCGGTCTACTCCGGAGCCATCTTCATCCTGAAAATGATGGCATTGATGAACCGCATGGGGGATAGCCCCGCCCCGGTCGCCCAAGGACGTCCACCACTCGAAACCTATCTCACTTCGAGCATGTGGAGAGGAGACGAGGAGGAGATGTTCAAGACTTCCGACTGCAACTCCGGACAATGATGGAAATACAGGTAGATTAACTTTTTCTATTAGTTGTGTTCAATTGTCCTCAATATGGTGTACAACTAATCTATTTTTTTAAATGAGATAGGTGGTGCTCCGAATGTGAATGCACAAACCAACTTAGAGAATGAGACGGAGCCGATCCATAATGATACAGGTTAGAAATTATATTCCTAATTTCGGGTAAACATATAGTGTAACTCTTTGTATTAATTTATTCTATTATGTTCTTCATCTAGATGGTGCACCGAATGGGAATGCACAAACCAACTTCGAGAATGGGACGGAGTCGGTGATCCATAATGATACAGGTTAGAAATTATATTCCTAATTTCGGGTAAACATATTGTATAACTCTTTGTATTAATTTATTGTGTTATGCTCTTTGGCTAGATGGTGCCCCGTGGAGGGTTGCTCGGATTCCCAATACTAGTTGGAAGAATTACCCATGGCTACATTGTTTGGAATCCTACGTGCAACGACTAGTTCGTGGTTGGTTCAACCCTATTCCAGATGGACACTGTGGATTTCGAGCTATATCACAAGCAGTTACTGGGGACCAAAGGAATTGGCCACAAATGAGACGCACTGTTGTAGGGGAGCTTGAATCCGGTCCTGAGCTTTATAGAGACCACTATGATGGAATATCAAATGGAATAGAAAATGGCATTCGACGTTGTAGGTGGGCATCAACAAGTGGCTGTGGACCTCCCAACTGGATGGATAATGCGGAACTCTTCGTCTTTGCCACCTTGCATTCATGGGCCATCGTTGTATACAGTCAAGGCGGTCGTTATACCGTGCTACCTGTGACGGCCCCACCAGGAGTAACAAGACCACGTGGGATCTTATCACTACATTTTACGGGGGATCATTGGGTGCGACTTGACTTTCGACATGGTCAAGTGCCCATGCCTCCAATTAATGGCCTTTGGCCTATTTTTCATGACCCTAGTGTCAATGGGTGGGATCAATTCTTCTTACATGAGCGTGCGCTTTATGATAGATTGAACCCACGGGGATGAAGATTGGAAGTATATTTACGAATTGTATAACTCTCTATTGTTGAAACATTTAGTAATCTACCATGTTGATTAACTATTTTAGCAATGCATTGAATGTAACTAAAGTAAAAAAAATACAACCGTCTCAATTCAACTACAAACGATGACAAATAAAACACACAATAGTCTCAGTTCAACTACAAACGATGACAAATAAAACACACAATAGTCTCAGTTCAACTACAAACGATGACAAATAAAAAACACAATAGTCTCAGTTCAACTACAAACGATGACAAATAAAAAACACAATCGTCTACTGAGGCGGCTGCCCTACCAACTGGTCATACAACTCGAAAACCCCAGCTACCATATCATAGAACTTACCACCGTCCTCCTCCCACTTACTCCGGTCCCTCGTCAGCAACACGGGACCTAAACGATCCACAATCTGCTCTCTCAACTGTAAATAGAAAACAATGTTAGAATAAATAACAAATGTCCTTTATATTTGGAAAAGCAAAAGAAAGTCATAACTAACCTGATGAACTAGTAGTGGTCGAGGCTGAGGCACCCCATCAGTGGGGTGGGTGATCCGTGGGTGCGATCTAGTCAGAAACCAGTCAACGTACTCCTCCACGATCTCCGATGGGTGCTCGCACGGCCGAGAAGCAAAATCCAAATCTAGACGACGGGCTGCCACATTATCCCACAACTGATTCACCCACGGATCCCAAAAGACTATGTAACTGCTGCCGGAAGCCGGACGGTACTAGTCATGTGGTACTGTCATAGCACGGGGGATAATCTGTCGGTATCCAAACTGGCGCAG